TGCATATGAGGAGGCATCGGACCCTGCATATGAGGAGGCATCGGACCCTGCATATGAGGAGGCATCGGGCCCTGCATATGAGGGGGCATCGGACCCTGCATATGAGGAGGCATCGGACCCTGCATATGAGGAGGCATTTGACCGTACATATGAGGAGGCATCTGACCCTGCATATGAGGAGGCATCTGGCCGTACATATGAGGAGGCATCTGGCCGTACATATGAGGAGGCATCGGACCCTGCATGAAGGGCGGCATTTGTCCCTGCATGTGGGGTGGCATTTGACCCTGCATGTAAGGCGGCATTTGGTCTTGCATGTGAGGTGGCATTTGGTCCTGCATGTGGGGTGGCATTTGGTCCTGCATGTAGGGCGGCATTTGGCCCTGCATGTGTGGAGGCATCAACATATGCATCATCTGCTGACCATTTTGCTGATCGACGTCCGGCCAATACTCCCGATTAAACGCCTCTGGCCAGTTTCCGTGCATCCGCTGATTGTTAGGCGGAAAGGGGCGACAATTCGGATTGTCGGGCTCGCCGTATTCACCTGGATACATGTGTGCCTGCATTTCGTCAGGATCCTCGTAGTCCTCGTAGAACTCAATCATCTGGTCCCTATCGTAGTACTCTTGAAGATCCGGGTTCATCGGATGTGGCGGTGGTTTTATTTGAGCCGACTGCTCTAGAGCCATCAGATGCGACGCGTATGAGCCCATGGGATGAAAGACCGGCGGATACGTTGACATTGGGTCATTTTGATCCTTTGTCACCTCCGATGATGGCCCCATACTAGCCGAGGCTTGCACAGTACTTTGCGGATTCTCTTCTACTGCTTAATGGAGAAGCTGGTTAAAGCTCGGTAATGCTTGGGTGATAATAAATAAGCCGCTTACCAAAGGTAGGTATGATCTCATTTGAGATAAGACTTGCCCAATTCGGGGACGATGAGCCAACAGAAGGATCAGCCATGATGCTAAAATGCTTATAAATGAAATGTTTCAATTATCATTTGATTTGCGTTAGACTGCAGCCCTAAGATTTGTCAATTTCTGCCTCTGGTAGTCAAAACATCCATTTGTCTAAGCCTCCATTAGTCTAAACCTCCGTTAGTCTAAACCTTCATTAGTCTAAGCCGCCGTTAGTTGAAGCCTCCGTTAGTATAAGCCTCAGCTTGTCGAAACCTATATTAGTCTAAATCTCTATTAGTCAAAGCCTCCGTTAGTCTAAACTTTCGTTGGTCTATACCTCCATTAGTCGAAGCCTCCGTTAGTCTAAACCTGCGTCAGTCTAATCCTCCGTTAATCTAAACCACTTTTCTGTCTAAATTTAATTCAGTCCCATCTCCTGATTGATCTTTCTGTAAAATCTCAAGGTTGATTTGTGAGTGTTGATGGAAAATACTTACATCGTTGGCTATGATTCTTCAGCAAACTACTTCGAATCAAGTAGAATATCTCAAAGGCAAAGCTGTGGAAATATTGTAAATATTTGAATTTATGCATATTTGGTGTTCTATCAGGGTTAAGGCAATAGTTTTGTAAACATATTCTAAGGGATTGCTACTGCGTGGATGGGTCTGCTTGTAAATATCTTAGCTTTGTGTTATGTGAGACGTGTCTGTTCCAGTTTAAAACGCTTTCAACTGCACCCCGAACGTGCCTGGCATATTGAAGGGCGTACAGCCTAAGCCTGTTCCTGTGCAAGACGCACAGGAAATCATCTCTCATCCGCAGTAGCGGCAACATTTTTGCAATTATTTCAAATATTTTTCAACACGGCTTTGAAATGCGACGTGCCGACGAATGCCGCACAACAGCAACAGCCAGCAGGCTAAAGGAAAAACCCTTTTTGTTTTTCACGTTTTTCCTTTGTCTTGCGCCAAAATATTTTTCCACATTTTATGCTGCGCATATTTTTTTTCCCGCAGACTTGGCGCGAAATTAGCGGCAAGTGGCTGAGGCAGTGGAAAAAGGCAGCGGAGATAAACTTTAAATAAAACATGGTACACACAACACGGCCAACGAGAGGGCGGGAAGGGGGCCCAGGCAGCGGCCGAGGTGTTGCTCGCGCATCGTGAGAGGGTGAAAGATGCCGGGGTACCGGGATACCGGGCCAAACGTCGAACACTGGCGCACAGACCGCAATTCAAATAAAATCCTTTAGGGCTTTTGACTTTTAACTCATCCGTTTAACGAGCGCTCATGTTCGTGAGATGGCGAATGGCTGGCTGGCTGGTTAGAGGATGGCAGGATAAAAAGATTGCCCGGGCAAGGACAATACCCTTGACACCTACACACACACACACACACACACACATTTATATACATATAAATATGTATAGCCGCAGTAACCCAGCACGCGTTGTCAGTGCAATTGCAAAACAATGCGCGAAAAAGGCAAGAAAATCAGCATAGAAGGCATATGCGAATAGCCATGCTCTATAGAGTCGTATTTATAACTGATATAAATGATGTACAAAGCATGCATTATGATCATCATATGTATAGAATTATCAAATAGATCGATTATGATCCGATCACATATAAGAAATATGCCTACATTGCATTGGAAACTCCTCTCTTCAAACTGCGATTTCATTTATGGTATATGTAAATAATCTACATAGAACACTCTTCATGAAGCTGTCTACATCTAGCCTATATATGTCTCCACATCTTGAATACCTCTATTCATTGTGTATTAGCGTAGTCGACTCGAAGGGACAGGCACGCCCAAACGCCCACACACGCAGCTCACACAAAACGTTTTAAAATTTTTATGAGCCTTTTTGCTCTGGAATATCTCTACAGCACAGAGCTCTGATTGCTTTTGCAAGCAGCCCTTGCCTCCAATCTCTCTCTCTCTCTCTCTCTCTCTCACTATCTCTCTCTTTCGAAGCCCGTGAGTAGAATCGATTGATAGCTGCGTCGCTAGCAATTGCCAATTGCCAATTGCCAATTGTCAGTTGGCAGCTTTGGCAATCGGCGATTCAGAATTTGAACAATTGCCCACTCGACGTGAGCATAGCAAACGTGGCCAAGTCTCGGGCTGAAGAAGGCCTCGATTGAGGCGTTTGCCTAAAATATGCATGCGATGAGCCAATGCATACACAATGCCTAACTTCAGCTGGCTGTGGCTGTGGTTGTGGGGCCGATTGTGACATTTATTAACCAGCGAAATACACTTGTCGCGCATACGCCCCGTGGACACGCCCCCTCCTCGCCCGCCACCCTCTTCTGGCACTAAAAAAGCATGCTTCGTTTAATAAATTGAGCGTTTTGTGCAATTTATGCGCCTGATTTGACATTAATGTAGCCTGAACAGACTCCACGCCCACCACACACGCATATAAATCAGTGTGTATGCGTGTGTGTGTGTGTGTTTGTGTGTGTGGGAGTGAGTTGTAATGCGAGTGTGTTTATTTACATGTGTTGCCTTCCTTGCCTAGTTCTTAACGGAAGAGCGCGTCTTCCGTTTGCTGTTTTTTATTTATGACAACATCTGTCGCAACAACTGCTGAATGTGTGTGTGTGTATGTGTGTGTTTGTGTGGAGGCGCTAACATCTATGCCACACACACATCATTTATCATTTTAACGGCTCAACTCCTTTTCGTGTCTGGCACCTTTCGCTTCATTTGCTGTAAGTTTTCGCTCTTTATGCCCACAACTTTGGCCATTAAAAAGAAGAAGTTAAAGTAAACGAGCTAAGGCGACTCTCCCTACAGCCCTATACAGTTAAGCTAGCTTAATGATATAATATAGTATTGTATTCATGCGCACTCACCTGGCAAGTTTTCCCGCTATCCGCTGCGGGCCTTTGACTTCAATTTTTGTATTTTTCAGTTATGTATTTTTGTTTGTATATGTTTTTAAAATTATTATTAATTAAATTGATTATTATTTTATTATATTTTGTAGTTACTATATTATGTTTGTATGTGTTACTATATTATAAGGTTTATTGTATTATATTTTATTGTATTATGTATTGTATTGTATTATTGTATTATTATATTTCTTGGTGTTTATTATATTATAGCTTTTATTATTATATTATTATTATTGTGTGTTTGGTTATCATGAAGTTGTTTATTATTTCTATTATGTTTATGTATTGTTTGTGTATTTATTTTTTTTTATTTATTTTTTTTTAGGTTTATTTATTTGTGTGTTTTTGTTTTATTGGTGTTTCCGTGTTAAATTGTAATATTATAAAATTTTACATCCGTGTTATAAATCCAAACTAAAATATTGATAAAACTGCGCGGAAAAGAGAATATAATTAGTGAAAAGATGATAATGATAATGATTAATGATTACCTAAAAACTAAAAGAACGCTCGATGAATTTTCGTTGAATAGTTGGTAAGCTCGCTGAAATTTGTCGATCTCTGGAAATAGAAACAGAAAATACGTATAAATAGGTGCATAATAAGTTTTATATGGAATAAATACTCATGTATGTGTGTATATAAATTATTCATTTGCAAATATCAAACGAAACGTTTTTCACGTAGTTTCAATTTCAACTTGGGCTGTCCCATTAGACTAAACAGCGTCGAGCAATTCCCAGATGCCAATCAATGTCAAAGAGCTGAAAACTCTAGACGGCAATAATTCACGTATGCGAGCTAATAAATTACGACAAAATCTCAGCTTTTTGGGTAGGGGGGCATCAAAGGATAACAAGGATAACTTTTGCGCTCCACTAAATGTCACACAAACACACACGCGCACACACACACACACACCTAGCCATTAAACTGCGAGCGCAAATAATCAGCTGTAAATATTTTATAGATGAAACGAGCGACAAAAACTCTGCGGAGTGGGCAAACGTATTTCAGGCATTTCTTTCTTGTTGTGGCGCCACAGAAATTTGCCAAAGTCTTGTGGCTTGAGCTTAAGTATATAACATATATGTATATGTGTGGGTGTGCGAGTGTGTGTGTGTGTGTGCTTGGCATAAGCTCTGCTGGTCATTTACGGGGTCACACGGCCAGCTCAGAGATCATAATGACTCACGCTGACGATGATGCGGTTGCTGATGGCAATGGGGCCAAGCAGGCGGCTTACGATAAGAAGCGAGAAGAAAATAGAAATGAATGTCTATTGATAATCAAAATAAATGCCTGACGGGGCTCGCAATGAAATTGAAACAAAGCTTGACAGATGTACAGATATCTGGAGCATGGACAGCCGCCGAGGGGCATAAGTATGGGGGAGTGAAGCGAGAGTCTACAGAGTAAATCTGGCATCATATTGTTTTAGATTATAGAAATTACTATATATCCTGTATTATATACATATATTTATATGATTGCCTGGCGGCAGATCTTGATGAGCATAACATGAGCAAAGGCAGCTGAGGGAGTGGCATAGTTAATGCAAATGCTGTTAGGGATTATGGCAAATACCTATATGAGAAAATCAAATATAAATTACATTGAATATATGTATATGCATAACAAGCCGAAGGCCAGTGAAAGTTTAATCCTAAGTTAGTTTTAATTATAATGAAAAATGTCTAAGACATAAAAACATTTCAAAGGAATGTGGAATAGAACCTCTTTCATCTCATCTCCACGACTACATGCACACATTTGGCTCACGGAGAGCGACCCCAGCGAGACTCAACGGAGGCTGCCACTCGAGAGAGACAATGCAAAGCTGCTGAACTATCTGGGCATGGCGCATGCCAGAGTTGGAGGAGTGGACTGGACTCTGATGAGGGGCCAAGGTCCGGGGCCATAAATTTATGTTGGTGTCGCCTGCACATGCAAATGTCTAAATGCCTAAATGCCTAATGAGTGAAGCGGGCAGCACAAACAACGCAGGGACACGAATGAGTCCTTAAAGATTAATTAATCTTTGTGGCACATGCGGCCGACGCTGACGCTGACGCTGACGCTCATGCTGATGCTGATGCTGACGTCGACGTCGCTTGGTGCCACAAACAACAGTTGGCTGGGGCACGCGTGTATTGTTGGCCGGGCAGGCTGACCATTGTCCTGCGTCGGTTTCGGTTTCGGTTTTTAAGCTAATGACACAAAACGCCAAAAAGGATGCGAGTCCTGGGGGTTAATTTGCAGGCAGGGTCGCTGGCTGGCTGGCTCGCTCGCTCGGTCGGTCGGTCGCCTGGTCCGGCTTATCTTTTGCTTTTGAAGAAATAATTAATGACCTCGTTTTTGCCACTGTGGCCAGAGCAGGAGCCAGAGCCAGAGCCGGAGCAGGAGCCGGAGCTGGGGCGGGCAGCAACAAGGAGCTGCACACTCCGTGCTGGCCATTAAAAATCGTTTATTTCGATTTGATTTAATCCAAAATAGATTGCCCTGTCGGGCCATGCGACGCAGACGGAGATGCGGCCAATTTATGCACTCAATTTACGCACGGCGCACAGGACACACAGGACACAGGGCAGGATGCAGGACGCTGCTGTGGATGCTGCTGCTGCAGTTGGACAGTGGAGCTGCTCTGTTGCGTATTTATAAATTTCATTGGTTAATCCTTATTTTCGCATTAAGGGAGCTCACACACGCACACACACACACACACACAGCTGCAGTGGACGCACGGCCACAGCTATGCAAATGTATGCATTGTCCTGTTGCGCCAGCACTCGCCGTCCGCTGCTGTGCCCCCCCGCCCCGTCTGTGCCCCGCCCACAGCAGACTACGCTGGCAATTAAACTAATCGCACGCGAGGCTTAAAATGCGATTTGCGGCGTCGATTGGCAATTGCGGCTCGCATTCGCCATTGAAACATTTCAAATGTTTGCCCGAATGCCAACAGCAGGGGCAGAAAGAGAGATGGCGAGGAGAGACAGCGGAGAGCTGCTAAGTGTGCCGAGTGAGAGGCAGAAGCGGTCCACGCGGTTTGCCCTTTTGCGATTTGCCGCGAAATTTATTTAACCAACACGTCGGAAATTTTCCAATTTCACATTCGCTCGCAGCTCGGCAAACGCCGCAAATGACATTTAAACTGTTTGCATTTGGCGCCGCTGACTGTTTAGTGGTTTTTGCGGCTATCCGAGGCCACCTGACCCCCAACCGCACCGCCCCCAACGCTCGCTGTTTGCCTAATCCAAATGTTTAGTTTCGCTTGGGCCTAAAATGTTCGTGCGAAGGACAGCTGGATTCATTGGGCCACGTCCCACACTCGGCTCGCACAAATACTCCGCCAAATTTATGGCTAATCTCTGATCCGGCTTTTCGATTCTGGGTCTGTTCAACTGGGCCATTCAATATTGCGAAACTGATCAAAAATCAAGGAAATCTCTAGGAGCAGGAGCGAGGTGTCTATATCTTGGCATAAGCTGAAGACAGATCAGAGCTCGACTAGCTGGGAACGGGGTCTGTATGGAAGTCTATATGCACGAGGCAAAGTCGTAAAGTAGAGTTCCTTAATCTCTCTCAACTACCCCAAGGCCAGCTTAGCTTTTCCTTTGGCTAACAGCTTTGCTCAGTCGTTTGATTAATTTCCATGAAAAGGAAAATGAAAATGCTAATTTCTGTAGCTTTGTCCACACTGTTCAATTGCAACCGGAAAGGTAAGAAGTCCGCCTCGCCTGTTGGCTGGCACCACAGCAGTGAAAGGCTGCTCCTGCTCCTGCTGCTGCTCCTGCTGCTTTGAAGCATTGTCACCGCGCACCGCAAGAAACCAATTTTCATGTGATTAATGATGTCAACGCGAGGCGATGCTGGCCACGTAAGTGCCTGCTGGCCCGACTCAATTCCCTGGCCGCTCTTTAGCAGGAGTCGGAGGGGACACGAGCGTACCACAGAATGAATCCGTCCGTCAAGAATGCGTCAATTTAATTGCGCACGTGACGCGCGCGGCTCATGAATGATAAAGAGAGAGCAGAGCGGGAGATGAGGGAGAGCAAAGAGAAGAGACGAAGCCGAAACATGTTGTTCAACTGGACGAGCGGGGAGGGCATTTTGTTGCGGCTATGCGCGCCACGTGACGCTGACATTCGCATTGATAGCACGAGCTTGGGCTGCGGCCAGTGGATTAGCCAGCCAGAGCTTCAAGATGCCCTCGAACCGAACCGAGCCAAGCAAGCGCAGCAGTCGACCAAAATGCGCCCCACATGCTGCGCTCAGCATTTGATTTTTCGCAAATTTCATTAAGCAAGATAAATGGTTGGCTATTAACAACAGCAACAGCAACAGCAACAGCCACGAGCAACAGCAACAAAAAGATGCCTAATAGCAGCAGCAGCAGCAGCAGCCTTAGTGCTGCCCGCTTTGTATTTATGCAAAAATTCGTTATGGATGCCAAAGAACGGCAGCAAAAATCGCACGCACTTTTGTTTACACACATACCCTACAACCGAGGCTGGGCATCTTGACTACGAGTTGAGCTTTGTTTGCATTTGCATATCTGGCACGCGAGTTGAGCAGGAGCTGAACCTGGTCTGCCATGAGAAGCCCACAAATGGGACAGTGGATGAGATATGAGTTCAGTTTTCTCATCTGGGTGGGCTGCAGATCGCTCGAAAGCCATCCACGGCCAGGACTGGGCAGCATTGTTGTTTAATACCCATTGAAAAGGGAAAACTCGAGCAGGACTGCAACAGCTATAGCCTCTCTTTAAAGCTCTCTGTGAAACCTAATTCGAGTTGATTTCGAAAGAATCTACGAAAGGTGCTTGAAATTATTGCCACTTAGGCCTAGACAGTGCACAACGCACAAGATAAATGGCCAAAATGCAGCCACTGTAAGCGCAGTCAAACTAGGTATTAGACCAGAGCAGACTTGCAGCAGCGCGTCGAAAAGCTTTTGCGGCTGAAGAAATGCGAGCGGCACGGCACGCAGGCGCACAAATTACAGTGCGCAGCGCGATTCCATTAATGCGGCATGGCTTCTGGCTCCAAGGTGGCAGACAGCCCTAGAAAAAAATAATTTAGTCGAAGAAGAAGCAATGTGGTCCATCCACACCAGCCAAAATGACAAACTAAATGTCTATGCATAAACCACTATCTATGTACATACATACATACCTCTAGATCACAATTAAAATGTATTAAAATATAACAGCCACAATGTTAAATATTCAGATGAAGCGCCGCCATTTGAATAATATAGTAAATATACACAAGTTTTTGCACAAATCAATAAATATTTTGTTAATTTTTTGTTCTCACTGTCAAACTTGGGCTCCAGATGCTTTTTATAATTGTCAGAAATCGACAACTCGCTGGTATGAAACTAGTGAAATAATCGCCGCAATTGAAGCCAAGTCGATAAATTGTGTAATCGGCTGAATCACATCACTAACCAAACAGCGTGATTGCACTTTGAATAATTCAATTGAAGAACAAAAATAAATAAATGTATATAATATATAAATTTAAATATGTAAATATAATAAATATAAAATATATATATGTACACATATAAAGCTCTGTTTATTTTTTTATGTTACACGCCTGCGAGAGAATTATTTGAGAGCTTTAGACCAATTGGAAATTTATCTATACGGCCAGCAGTTATAGCAGACCCAGCCTCTATATGTACTTGAATATCTATGGACGTTCATATTATATAGTGCATACAGTGGTCGTTGTTTCGCCTGTTCGTTGGACTTGCGGCTCTGGTGTGACATGATAAATTGCATGAAATTATTTTCAAGCTGCCAACCCCTCGCACCACAAGGCCGCGAACGTGCTTGGGGGCTGCGCGGGGTAACAACAATGAGGCTTGGGCTCGTGTATATGTATGTATGTACATATATCTCGGCGATATCAGTGGTATCTGTAAAATGCTCTACTTAAAAGTTAATTGTAGCGGAGAGTCAACTTTCTGGCGAAGCTTCACGAATTTGAAATCTATTCAAATTTCGTATACAAAATGCGACATGTTGTAATTCTCCAAGCGATTGTTATTGTTGTTGCTGTTTGTTTGCTGTTGTTTGTGGCCTTATCAGGCCCGTATTTTATTTGCTTGCCAATTTTCCCAAAACTTTAAGATTTATCGCACTGGCAGCCCGAGCCTGATGAATGCGACGTTGTAAAGCAAATCTGAAACGCGAATTGCGACAGCTGCTGGCTGGGATTGCGAGGCTGGGTGGCAGACAGTATGAGTGGCTTTCGACTGTGCCTGGCAAATTGGTCATTAACTGAAGCACAGAGCACACACACACACACACGCACACAGAGCGTGACAGACAGATGAAACGCAGCGATAGATGGGGCCAGAGCATGGCATCAGGACATTTTAATTTGGTCTGTCAACGGCAGACGTTGACCGCAGCGTTGCAGCTGCAGTCAAAACTGATTTGTCCAGCGCACACACACACACACACACACACACACACCCGAAGCACAGCCATGTCCCCACTACAACAGCAAGTCGCAGCTCACCGCATCTGTTGGCGAGAGGACACGTTGTTGATTTCTAATTTCACGCTGCGTTGTGTGAAAATCAACACCGTCCAACAACAGCGGCCAGAACGGGGCTCCGGTTGCCCGGCATCGGACATCGGGCATCGAAAATCGGGCGCCCCAGCTGTCCCCTTTTTGATGGAAATCGAAAAACGCAGCCCGCAGAAAAACGCAGTTAATGAAGCCTAAGCGTTTAGCTGCACCTCTATCCCCCTTTCCCCCTTACTTACATAACTAGCAAAAAATTCAAAATAGATTTGCAAATGCGAAGAAGCTTACCGCAGGGCCAGACGCCGGGACGGGCCACGTCATCAGTTTCCAATTATGCAAATCTCTTGATTTCGCCGAGCTCGCACGACTAATGAAAGTCAATCGGAAGAAGATGTGCAGCGCCTCAGTCCTTGCTTTTAATATGAATAAAAAATAAACACGAAAAAAAAAACAGAATATAATAGAAAATAAAATCACACACACGAAACGTTTTCATTTGTGACTAGCAAAATTAAAATGACGACTAGATCATTCGATTTTTCGTTTGACAGCTGGTGAAAAAAAGAGACACCAAAAAGAAAAAAAAAGAAGAAGAAGACAAATGTTGCAACTTCTCGCAAACTTACCAAGAAAATGCACAATATTTCAGCAATTCAACAATTTCACACCGCGTTTATAAACTGAACTTGGAAAATCAACAGAAATTAAATGAAATGAAAAGTCTTTTGCTCCAAAAAAAAAAAAAGAAAATGAAAAAATTATGAAAAAAAATACGAGTTCACTCCAAGGTATGTGCACCTTCCGACGACTCGAAGCAAAGACAGAGTTTCGCCAATTTTTAGTCGATGCCTCACTTGACAGTTAGGAGTGACAATAAGTATATTTCATGTACTCGTGACTTAGCCTGGCAGTGCTCCAAAATATCTTAACAATAAGAGTTACCGATGATCCATTCACTCGCAGAGAGAATATCGATGACCAGGAGAGTAGATTCCAATTCCATTTTATTTCACTCGTTGTTATAACTACAGATTTTTATGAACAGTAATTTACAATAATTAAAGAGTTCAGGCCAAGAAAATAGGCCTCTTCTGCCAAGATATTTAATTACATACATGACATATGGCATATGCGATAACATAATTATTTGGAAAAAAAAGAAATAAAAAACCCATGAAAAATTCCTACAAACTGAATTAAATTAAACACTAAACACCAAAAACTACAAGACTTTGCAAGTAGATAAAATAATATAAACGGATTTACGTATCTGAAAAAAAAATTATGCTTTGAATTTTTAATTTTATTTATTTATTCATTTATTTTATTTTTATGCCCTGAACCCATTGAAAATGGGAAATCAGTTAATAATGGGTTTGTTATTTATTTATTTATTTTATTTTATCTATTTATTTATTTTTGCTTTTTATTTTATTTTATTTATTTATTTTTTTTTTTCTCTGGATGTGTTCAATATGGTAATGTAACTTAAATTGAATTCTTAGCTTTGTTTGCCCTAAGCTCCTCTCTAAATCGCCCCAAAGTACTACTATAATTTTTTTAAATGGAAATCATGCATCCATTTATTTGTAATCAACATACATGTAGTATGTACAATAGGCATTGATCTATCGCTTAGCTCACACTGCTACCAAAAGCTCAGCCGTTGGTACCTACTCGCTCGATTTCAGCGCATCGCAAAGTAACGAGTAACGAGTAACGAGTAGAGAGTAACGAGTAACGAGTAGAGAGTAACGAGTAACGAGTGTCGCCCATCTCTAGCTTAATAGTTAGCAACGCTCTCTTTCTTTCCGGCGATTTCTCGCTCAAGTGGCACGTGCTTTCTGTACCTGAAGTCGAATTTGAATTTAATCATTAACTTTATTTAATTAATTGAAGTACAACTTTGATCGAAAAAATGGATATTCCTGATGGTACGATTATGTCGGCTTTCGAAGTCATACAGACATCTGATGACCAAGAGATAATTGAGATTCTGGGCAGGTAAATTGCGGGCTGTGTATGTATGTAAGTATGCAAAGTGTCTGTCAAAACTCTGTGCTTTTGCCCGCAGCTCCAATAGAGACGGCCAGGATGGCGGGAATCAAGGAGATCATTCCAATAATTCCAATGATGTCGAGCTAGAGAGTAGCATGTTGCAACTACTACGCACCAAAGCCAAGAGCGTAGAGGTACGCCATGAACCTAGCCACAAATGCAGTCACGACTCGCTGCTGCTGCACTGAATTTGCGTTTCTTACTCGCTGCTTTTTCTTAGGAAATCTGCAGCGAATTCATCCAGCTGTGTGTATCCGATCCCGAGGCAGGGCTTTTCAAGTTCATGCAGTTCGTCTTGGAGACTAGCGACATTGACACGCCCGAAATGCAAAATAATCAAGTCAAATCTGGCATCTTCTTTAATGCGGCCAGTTCTCAGGAGAATGTAAGTGGATCACGTAGCGACTAGTTATATGTATGTACAACATGAATATCCCACTAAATATATCATTTCAATAAGAGTTTCAGTTCAGATCAAGGTAAACCTCAGCTGAGCGCAAATAATATTTCAGAAATCTGCCTAGACTCTAGAGTCAATCTATATTATTGGTATATTTTAAGACATTGTTACTTCTTGCATATGATTGAGAATTCAGCTGTATCCGCTGCGCATGCGCAGCTCGCACTCCCTTAGCATGGATGTGGGAAGCTACACTTAAACTTATCTAGACTCTAATATTAATCTTTGTATTAACTACCATTGAAGGTTTGTTCATTTTTAGTTCTCCAATCAGAGTATTGAGCTATGTCCGCTGCGCATGCGCATAATTCATGCAATTAATACAATTTAAATATTATTGGTATGTATATCAAACCCGTATATCAATTTGAAGGTGCATCGCTTTCCGGTGATGGTGCGCTCTTCGCACACCTTTAGCGTGGACGTTTCGAGCTTCTTGGAGCAGCTGCTGCACGCTGTCATCTGCACGTCCGTGGTCCTGCAGAGTCAGTTTATGCGGAAAATGGGTAACTTTCTGATTGTCGGCACCGAGTCGGACGTGGTGCCGTTGCGGCACACAAACACCCTGATTGGTAAGCGCTCTCGGTGGGCTGTTCTGTCTGAGGCTATAGCAGCGTCCACTTGCAGCCCTGAAGATGATGACCGCGCTGAACAACATGATAGCGCTGCAGAACGAGAGTCAGCGCAGACTCTGGGCGAATCTGCTCAAGAAGGTGTTCCTCAAGCGCAGACTCGATGTCGCAGCTGACATCCGATCGATGTGCGTAGCCGAGTGTGGCGTCTGGCTGGACAATTTTCCGCAGGGCTACATCAGTAACAAGCGCTTGATACATCTGTTCGAGGCGTTGGACGACGGCTCCATGAAGGTGGAGGAGGCCAGCCTGGATGCGATTGTGAAACTGGAGAAGAAGACGAAGCTGCGTGAGCAAATCGTTCAGGAGGGCTACAAGTCCCGGATGGCCCTGCTGAGCATCAGCCTGAGCACCCCCCACACTAAGCTGGTCGATAAGGCGATTCACCTGCTCGTGGCCTTTCAACGGGTCATGCCGGAGGTGATCGACAATGAAATGGTCCAGATAATTGAGCAGATGGCCTTTACCGCCAATCGAAACGTGGCTCAGGCGGCGGCCCAGCTGCTGCACGCTCGATTCATGGCGCAGCCCACCGCCAGCGCTCGCGTGCTCGCCATGGCTAGGCTCTTCGTCAAGTTCTTCAGGCACGAGCAGACCCCCTACCTGATCGACGCCTTCTACGGCATCGGCGACAGTTTGCTCGACTGGTCCACGATGGTGAAGATTCTGCTGGACCAGGAGGACTTGACGCACCAGGAGGCCACCGTGATCATTGAGATCATGGCGCTGAGTGTCAGGCAAGCAGTGACCGGAGATTCGCCATCTGGTCGGATCACCGACCCCTTGGCAAAGGTCGGAGCCAACGAGCTGGTAATAACCAGTATATTTCCGTCTCTGAACATGCTGCTGCACAAGTACCGCATGGACCCTTTGCAAATGAAATACCTGTTGGATCTGCCGCTGCACATGAGCTTCTCAAGCGAGCAGGTCGAGCTGTTGCTCGGTCAGATCAAGACGTTGGTTTTGAAGCATAACAACGTGGAGGTGATGCACTACTGCACCGCGGCGCTGCACCTTCTGTCCCAGAAGTACGAGAAGGTCGCCGCCCCCATCCTCAAAGAGCTGATGGAGCGAGCAGCGCTCATCTACTTGGAGACGGACAGCGCCTGGCAGCTCTCAGTGAGTAAAAAGCAAGTGTCGCGCATCAATGCGTGCAACCAGCGTCTGCTCGTCGCACTGCGCATCATCTCGGCGGTCTACCAGTACTGCGATATGAGTGAATTCCCGGTGATGAACTCCGTGCTGTTGAAACTGAAGCAAGCCGTCAAGGATAGGGACCCATCGGTGGGGACGCTCTCTGATGAGACGATAAGCATTTGCATAGAAATATGTTACGTGGGCATCAGCTGGAATCTGAAGCGTATCCAAGAGGCGGCCAGGGTCGGCGACCAGATCGATGGAGACTGCCTGGTGGTGGCCGAGCATCAGGACATCTTTTTCTTGGCCGCTATGTACATCATTAAGAATTCCAACGACGTGAACTTCAGCGGTGACGTAAGTACTCGATTCCCTTGTGCTGCGCAGCCAACAGACTCCTCCTCCTCGTCCTCCTCTCTCTGCACTCCAGGCCTTCGCATCCGCGTGTGAGCTGCTGGTGCTGTTCGCTGAGAATATGCGCCACAGCAAGAACCCTGCCCTGTGCGCGCTGGAGTACAGGCCGTCCGCCTATGAGCTGAAGATCCTGGAAAACTTTGCGATACAATACGTGTTTGGCGGGACCGCGGCAGCCGAGCTGGACAATGCCGTAGTAAGCAAGTTAGCCGGTCTGGTGCCACAGAAACGCCGCGTCCTGAGCGGCTTCTGCAAGCTCTGCATCAGCAACGTTGTGCCCGTGCTGAGTGCCGCCAATGTACTCCAGTACTATGAGCAGGTGAGCTCCCCGTCTCGGTCCTATCCTGCCCAACATTCATGCATGCATGTTGCTGCATGCATCATTTCTCCTTGCAGTTCTTTTCGTACTACGGGGATATTCTGTTCAGCACCTTGGAGCACTGCATGCTCATCAACACAGTTGACTTAAGCATGGTGCTGATGCACAGCCTCCTGCTGTTGTATAGGCGCATTATGGGTGCCTTTGACAGCCCCGTCCAGGCAAGCGACTCCCTTCAGTTTGGCAAGCTGATCAGCATGTCCAAAATGTTCAGCCATCTGTTCAGCTTCGATCCCGTCAAGACCCACCCGGCTGTGCTCATTTTGCACCGCGCCGGCATAGTCTACGCCACGGAAGGTACCGAGGACGCCTGGAACGCGCCCGAGAATCTGTTCTACTTGAAGGTCGTACGCCAGTTCGTGTACCTATTGCAGGCCGACGACATTACGGATATACTCGGCTTACTGGACAGCAGCCTCATCGGCAAACAGCCGAACACCAGCCCCGAGTGGGAGGCCCTGCACTACTATCGCGATTCCCTGGTAGCTGCCCACAATCAGAACCGACGCTAAGGCCCCCAACTATCGACGCATCGCCTTAACACAATAAATCGCATCAAGCGAATTCACATCATTTAATCAAACAAACTTTATAATCATATAATATTATCTATCGAAGATATTGCTGCTCTCTGCTAGAGCTTCTGAATAAACTAAATATTGAAGTCATCTTTTGATGTTCCAAAGATAAATACAAAGGAAACTTGAATTGACTTTTATCATGCATTTCTTGTCTTCAATTATCGTGTTGATATTCCCCATCTTTTATTATAGATAAACCATGAGAATATTTTAGCTGGAGTTACTTGCTGAATACATGTACATATATGTATATACAATATAGATATTCTTTTATATCTCCATGAGGATTTCTATGAGTATCCCAAGCAAGGCGACATTTTGCCTCTGTCTATAGAGTTTAGGCTCGTAGTAATTTATTTTTCTCCATAGGCAAGTTCAACGCTTTTGCTCTAGCCAATTCAGTTGCCTGCTCGGAACTCTCCTTACGAATTCTTCTGCTTGAATGTGGACTACAGCAGCTCAAGGAATTTCCTCAGCTTTAAGCGTTAGCCAGCTTTCGGTGAGGATGTTCCGGAAACCTCTATGAATGCGATCCGCAACTCTATCTGGTCTTGCGGCAAACACACTCGAGTTGCTTTTGTGATTCGCTCCGGCTGCTCACCTGGACGTGGTCGAGTCGCCCGTTGTTGTGTTCCCGGTGTAATTGTGCGTTGCGGCACGCGAAATTAAACAAGCCGTGTGGAGCAGTGGTGCCGGCGTTAGACAATGGGCCAGGTGCTGGTTGGGTGGTTGGGGCGTGTAGATAATGAAGCGCTCGCTGGCGGGAGGCAGCTGGAGGAGTTGGCACTGGCTCCAGGGCTCGCTAAATAACAATGGAATGGCAAGCGCAGAGCAGCAGCGGCGTCTGCCACGCAGCTCCTTCAGCTGCCGCCTAGCGGCTCTCCGGGGACGCCGCGAGGTGTCGCAAAAGTTTTTGCCTTTAGCACAGTCAGATTGTGTGAGAGGGGAATGGGGGATGGGCGGCACGGGCAGGGCAGGGGCGTCTATTGTTCCCCAAAGTGTTTTTATTTAGGCTGGGCTCGACTGGGCTAGGGCGTCCCGTCTTGGGGGCCTTTTCGCTTGCCTTTGGCGCACAGACATTTCGTTTGTTTTATTATCTTTTATTATTATCCGCCCGCTGTCTTTGTCTCGGCTGTTGTCCCTTCTGCGTGCACCCAGTGCTCGCTGCAGCTTGGCTCAGCCCCTCGCCCGCCGCCAAATTGGCCGTTAAGATGCTAAAGATGTGGATTTTGGTGATTTAGCAAGTTGGTCGCCTGCCACCCCCGCACCGGCCCAGCCCCCGCATCAGCCTTGGCCATAGTTTTGTCCGCCTAACGGGTTATTCCGGCCCACCAGAAATTTGCGGCGGAAATCGCGCTAATTCTGCCGCCTGATGCCACACAATAGCGGCCCACTTGGCTGCCCCATGTGACAGATTTGGGGCCAGATACGAGTGGGATAGGGTCGATCGAGGCAGCTCGTTATAAGTAAAATAGTTTTAAAAAAGTATTCATAATATACAAATAATAATTCATTTATTTACTATTATTATTATTATTATCGATTTCCTATTGAGAATTTGCATTTGGCATAAATTGCGCAATTTTGAGACAGTGCAATACGGTCACATTGTTTTGCAAATCTCTGCATAATTGTTGCCAAAATGTCAATTCAACTATTATTTGTTATTATATGGCCTAATTATTCGGCCCAAGCGCGAGTTCTGCTCGGATTTGAAGGAAATAATGCCCCAAACAGCTCCATGTGTGCTCAAAATGGGAGTCAATAAAATACCTCATTGGATAATGAACAAAATATGATTGAAAGTGTTTGTAATAATAATTCTAATAATCATTGCAGGAGTCAGGCATAATTATAATATTCATTTGATTTCATTTTCTTCCGCAGATTGAATTTCTTATTGACGCCGGAATACGGTCCCATTCATTTGTCCTTCCAATAGCAATAGTGTTGATAAGTGATCCTAAATGTCCCAATTGTGGCTACCATGACTCGCAGCTACTTGGCAATCCTAAAACTAAATGAGGTCCGCCACATTGCTCAACTCGTTCAGTTTAGCTTCAGAGCTTGCCGTGTAAAGACCTGTAAGTCTTACAATTTATTTATTTTTTTTTTTTTCAATTTCAATTTTTTTTCATTCGCCATTTTGTTTTTCATATTTTTTTTCTCTTTCTTTTTTTTCATTATTGTTTTTTGCACGTGATTTACGCTGGTAAAGTAATTGAAAAAGTGAAAAGAAACAAAAATAATAATAAAATGGACTCTGACAACGAGGATAACCAGGAGCGTCGCCCAGAGCACCCATCCAAGCGCATATGCGTGCGCGCAGAGGCGGCCGTGGACCAGATTGCCGAGCTGCGTGCTACCTTTGCCACAGAGGTGGAGGCGTTGAAGCATGGTCTGGCCAAAATCTCCATGGAAAAGGCCATGTTGCTGGCCTCCTCGGCCAGGGTGGAGGCCATGATCAATCAGATCAACACCGTCACGCCCAGCTTGATCAAGAGCGTTGATCTATTGATTCAGCAGAGCCAGCTGATTAGCGCCCAGGTGGGCCAGGGCATTCGACCCCTGAGTAATGGTACCATTGCCAAATTGGTAATGCTTCAGGTGCAGCTGTCCAAGAAGGAGCAGCTGGTGCAGGAGCTACGCGACAAGCTGGAGCTGCATGCGACCACCATCAATGAGCTGCAGGCGGCCTTCACCAAGGACACTGATGTCGAGGTCAAGGCGCGTCGCGAAATGGAGCGTACTGTGGACGCAATGCTGCTCTCCATTGACGCCAACATGACCTGTGCGATCTGCCTGTCCGACTGGAGCAAGGTCGGCGAGCATCGCGTCGTCTCGCTGCCCTGTGCCCATCTCTTTGGGGAGGAGTGCGCCTACGCCAGCCTGCTGGCCTACCAGCACTGCCCAATGTGCCGCAGCCCATGCACAACCGCCGACATCAAGCGCGTCTACAAGGATGTCGGAGAGCCCAACCGTACCTTTCCCAAGCTTTTCCTATAGGGCTGCATCCCAGCAAGCAACGATCGAAGTCGAGCTTCTAATGTATTTCATTTCAGAAAAACACCAACAACAATTTATGTATAACACTTGCGTGTGGCACGTGTGTGGCTTAGAAGCAAGCAGAAAAACAAGACAGAAGAAACTAAAAATTAACACATACACACACAAAAAATCAGCACACACACACACACACACACGCACACACAATAGACTAAAATCCATCTGCTCACACTGTCACACGCAAAAATCAGCACACAAAACACTAAAATTTAACTCTCACACACACACACACACACACACACACACACACACACACAAAACGAACGAATATGTAACTAATAAAGAAATGAAAAAATTCTAGAAATTCTTGCCTTCGCCATTGCAAACTCTCAGCAAATTCCAACAGATACACACATACATATACGTATATGTATGGATGTATAGCCACGTGCACACATACATACATACATATACATACATATGTATGTATATATATTGGCAGCTGCAGCTGCAGACACAGCTGCGCCAACTTGGCAAATCTATTTTTAGACTTTTGCCGTTGTCGATTTCTGTCCTCTGCTTTCTGCTTGTTCGTCTCTGCGGCCATCTTGTCTTTCCAGAAGTCTCTAGAAGTGAAGAGCAAAATGTAATGCAATAACTGCCATATTACATTATATTATAGACACATCAGTGTTGCCATTTGGCTTATTTTAAGCTAGATTTAGCATATTTTGAAATCAAAAAGCTTGGAAAATTAATAAAAAGCTTATAGCTTGAGATCTAGCTTATTTCAAATTTAATTTGGCTTATTATGGCTTTAAAAAATTTAGTACAAAACAATTTTTGATTACGATGTCATGGCAAATGTTGCTTTTATTATAAAGTACCTGAAAGGTACTTATCATTAATTAAATCATCAGAGAATTATGAGGAAGCAAATGATGAAATTGAATTGAAATAAAATTCAAATATCTATTAAAAATTATACACCAAGTGCTGTTTTTAGTTACTTTCTTTTTAAGATTATTTTATTTTAATTTTAGCTTATTCTAGCTTCTTTTTTTTCTTCAATCTAGCTCATGATGACTCTGAAAAACTAGCACCACCGCTACACATACAACAGTAGTAGAGCTAAAATGAATATTCTCTTTCACGTTTTAAGGATCTAAAATATTCAAATTGGAATTCGAATATCAATCAGAAGTGTTCATGTCTTGGCTGCAAGTGGTGACGGTATGAGCTAAGCATGCGAGTGCTCTGGCTGAAGCGAAGACGCACACCATGCGCAAGCGAAAGTGGGAACAGTAATGGAATATGTCTAGCAAATATACAAACCAAGTCCTTAGCGACTGTTTCGTTTCCACACACCTTTCCCAAGTGCTAATAGAAAACACTTGGCCACAAGCTTAGCAAGTACACAAACCAACTTCTGTATTATTATTAAATTTTCCTGTTTCATTTCCAATAGCTTTGCCAACTGAATTTAGACTTTAACCGTTGCTTAAGTCTTAGTTTCGAGCGAAATTTAAATTTTTCAGATCAATTATGTATACGAGTCAATAAATACTAGATAAATCACATCTGATGAAATATTTACAAGCAAAACTTGTTAGTATATAAAAACATAATGAAAAATATAATGAAATTTCAAATATGCCATATATTGTATGTGAATGAAAATAGTACATTCTGACATTCTTCATCTGCCCAATAAAGAATTTCACTCGAAACGTGAGAAAATAGAAAATACCCCCTTGCTGGAAATGGTTGAAATGCCTTTCTAATGACCTGCGTGGGCCACAGGAAATGCCCGTTGATCATTTCCTGGTGCAGCATCCGTTTTTCATTTCGTTTTCGGGATTACTCTCACAAATGCCTGCGAATTTCCGCTGGGGCAACAGCAGAACGGCTCACGCGCTGCATTCAAATTGTTTAAACAGTGTATGAATATCTAAAGACCTTGTTGCTATTGCTGTTGCTGTTGCTGTGACTTAATGATGAAAACAAAGCATGGCAAAGAAGCCCGCGGCACATTTTGCAATGCCAGCGTTTCCGTCGTGTCGCGCTCGTTTCTCGGCCAACGGAAACGCAATAGCCAAAATCGTCAGGTAATATCGATAACCAAAGTGTATCAAACGCTGCTGGCAGCCCATTTTGGCCTGCCCCACGCCGCCAACAGCGAACAGCAAACAGCGAACAGCGAACAGCCAAGAGTCGGCGGCTAATTGGCAGCCCCCAAATGCGGACACCTGTCGCATTCCAATGGCCCACGTCAAATGGGTGACGTTACGTTTTCGCTTTGTGAATGAAACTGGAAACTAGCCCCGGCGCTCCCTCCTCCCTGCCCGCTACCCCATTAACCCTTAACCCACTCGATAGCCGCATATTTGATAGAGGCAGGCACACCCAGTGGCCAGGGACGTCGCGATGTTGTTGCCAAAACGTTGCCGCCCATTAGCAATTCCACTCAATAGACACGTTCGTGGCGCTATTTTCGATACATCGATCAATTGGCAATCAAATATTACAGCAGCAACAAGCATATGGATTAATGGGCCCCTTTGGCGCCCGCAGCTGCTGCTGAGCATTGCACGTGGCTCGTTCTAGTATTTCCAATCGGGCTTCACTTCCTTCCGCTTCCGTTTATGCTGCTGCTGCTGCTGCTGCTGCTGCTGCTGCTGTTCTCTTTTTTTTCTTTTTGATGTCCGACACTCGACGCTTTATCAGTTTCAAGTGCGCCGCCAAGTTGCAGCCGCATCTTGTGGCAGCTGCTGCGACAATGCAGTCGCCTCCGACGCCGCTGCCGCTGCCAACGACGACGACGACGGCGTGTCGCATGTTAAAAATACTCGAAATGAGTTTGGCATGTGCCACAATAGCTTAGCGCAGCTGAGACTGTATCGTTCCAGTTGCCGCATGCCGCATGCCGCATGCCGCATGCCACATGCCAATTGGCACTTGCTGTGCTACATGAACTGCCAGATGCTCTCACTTGAACCGTCTGAGCTGCAATTACTCTGCATATATATTTGAGAAAGTATTCAATATTCCGATTCCGTCTTATTCCAATTGGCAGCAGAGCTCTTGTCCAGTCTGGCCCATAGTAGTGCATATAAATAATGAATCAAGGAATGTATAAATGGCTATTCATATATGTATGTTTGTTATATATACCTTTGATAATGGAGAAAAAGATTAACAGGTTTAATTTCCCTTTGCTGATTTTCCCCCTGCCTGAAACTCTTTATGAAATTGCTTTGGAGCTATTCTATATATCGTATACTTTGATATATGTATATGACCTCAAAACTCGTCTTTCATGCTCCTAGTTGGCGTATTCAAAACATCTTACAACTATAGATGGAAGTTACCAAAGAGTATGTGTTCCAATTGTCAAATATCTATCGGAAGAACAGAGAGACGAACAATATAACGTATGCTACATAAACCCTATATACTACTATCACATCACGAGTGAGCATGAAAAGTGTGCGAAATTCGACTAAGTAAAAATGAACAAATATATAAATATGATATCAGAGATGATGTCTTTAAGTCAATATACATATATATACATATATACTCTTAGATATCAAAGCTTGTCCGTTTGCCTTATCCTAGCCCCATCGATTATAAACAAATAAGAAAAAAAAAAACATTAGCCTCATTCCTGTATATATCTTGAGTAAATTTTTAGTATATTAAGAGTTCTCTATAAATAAAGCGCAATAAATCTGATAAAGCTATAGTTATATAGCCAGATAAAGTGAATGATAAATAGGCGTACTTAAGCTATGTTTAGACTGTGAAGTCGAAGCAATTTGTAATATGCAAATCCAGTGGCCATAAACATTTATTTACCCATTAATGTTTGCCTAAGCCATGTTGCATGCACGATCGATCGCTAGTTTTATGGTCTATATAGTTCATACAGTTAGCAGCATAGATGATAGCGGCTGGCTAAGCGGCGACGACGAAGGCGACGGCGACGGCGACGGCAACTGCGGCTGTTCAATGTTTCGGTTTTGGTTTTCAGTTTTTTTTTTTGCTAATTTATGCCACGTCGCAGCTAATTAATTTCTGTTGGGCAGTCAAGACATGGGGGCAGCATTGGCGAACCTACACTAGCAACAGCAACAGCAACAGCAACAAACAAGAAAGTCTCCCAGCTCGTGCATGGAATTACCAATGGGTGTCGATTGTTGTTGTTGTTGTTGCTGTTGCTGTTGTTGCTGTTGTTGCTGTTGTTGTCTTCGGATTTTCATTAGAAATGTTTGCGCGTTTTTCAGTCGGCGCATCGCCATTTTATTTTTATATACATACATATACACATATGTATGTATGTACATACTTATTTTTTGCCTTGGTCAAACTAAACGCGCGCTTTGATGTGCCAACAGCAACAACAACAACAACTGCAGCAACAACAGCAACATTGTTGTTGCCTTAACAAGCATTTAATTGTGCAACTGTTGTAGCAACATTAATAAATTCAGAGGCGTTCGTCGTTTGCTATTTCCATTTTCAATGTTAATCGTCAAATGCGAAACGCAAACTGCAAAATGCAAATTTCACAAATGCACACAGCAGCAACAACAACAACAGCAGCAACAACAACAGCAACAACAACAACCGCAATTTTGTCAGCTTTGCCAAACATAGGGGTAGTCGATTGGCTAGTTAAGTCCTAGAGCTAGGGTGTGCGGGGAGGGGCGATGGCGGGGGATAGGGTTAGGGCAAGTCCCTAACCATTTCCATTCGCATTTCCATTACTACTTCCATTTTCGTTTTCATTTCCATTGAAAGACGTTTCCTGCCTTGCACGCACCCATTCGAACAGTCCCCACGGTCGGTCGATCGGTCGATCGGTCGGCCAGTCTACCCGCCTTTCTGTCAGTCCAAAAAACAACATGCATATTGTTGCAATATGTAGACATATATATGTAAGTGTGTATGTGTTTAGTGTTGTGTGGGAGCGTGGCACAAGATCGCTCAGACATTCTGGTGCCGTATAGAAGAAAAAGAGGGATAAGTAGAGAGGGCAAGAGATGGAGAGACATAGAGAGAGAGACGTATTACTGAAAGGCTAAAGAGACAGACAGCGAGAGGGGCTCAGAGGAAAAGCTATAAAAGGCAGAGGGAGAGGGAGAGACAGACAGAGAGAGAGAGAGAGAAGCAAGGAGAGACGGAGAAACAAGAGAGAGATAGTGATGTAGAGTAGAATAGAGTACGATTTATTACATATTTATAAATGTATGCATATACATATGTATAGAAAGAGAGAGAAATAATACAGAAAGAGAGAGACAGAGAGAGAGAGAGACATAAATATAGAGATAATCTGAAATATATACATATATTAAGCGAGAAAGAGAGAGAGAAGACAAAGAAAGTAGTGCATAGAGTAGGAGAGAGGAAGAGAGAGTGAGAAAATATAGAGAGAGATAAACTGAACTATAAACAGATATTGAGAAAAGAGAGAAAGTAAGAGGAGAACCTAGAAGACCGACCTCTTATTTGAAGCTGTATATATTCGTTTCTTATAAGAAAACAAAAAGCTCTTCGAATATACAACTACAGATCAAGGTGTGATGAGAAATCAAATACATACAGTAGACCTTATGACTATGTGTAGATGAAAGTACATATTGAACTTTATTGAATTTGGTTGATATCCAAATTAAGTAAGTATTCTATGTATATACTATGTATAATTGTTATTCATGACTTTGAATGGTACAACATATATATAATTCGAATATATCGAACATATCGAACATTCACCTTGAGCAAAGGAAATCACCCATGGGATTTTCCATGGAAATATTAACAATTTGTGTTTATTTTCATTAAGAGTTCATTCGAATTATCCATAGATATAGGCATGTATGTATATCGTTAATACATCTGGAATCAATCGACAGTTCGCCAAGTCCATAAATCTCATTCAATATACATATAGAAATAAATTGAAACACAATTACTTTCGCTGGAATAAAATTAGACACGTTTCAGCAACACGCCATAAATATCGATCCGAAAGATTCTCGATTCCCGATTCTCCAACTTGAGGGTGGCCTTCGCCTGCCTTACTCCCGCCCCCGCCCACCAATTGAAAGCCCTCGATTCACACAATGGAAACAAAATTGAAATTAAGTAGAAACAAGTGAATTAATTCATAAAACTTTTTATTGTTGCACACTTATAGCACTTAAAATATAAACAATTCTCAATTCCATTCGCGCATTGCTTCTTCTTCTTCTTCTTCTCTGTATTTCAACATTTCTCTTGACTTTAAATGTTACACTGTTTCTCTCTTTCTCCCTCTTTCGTATTGTCGATTCATTTGATTTGATTGTTTTTGTTTTGTTTACTCTGTTCTGTTTATACGTTAGTTTTCAATTCGTATGCGATTTAATAATTATGAAATATTAAATATTTATAATCCTAAGTGATTACTCTTTCGCATTTCGATAAGAACAAATACAAAAAAAAAAAAAAAATGTTTTATTTATATATGTAGAGAGAGAGAGGGAGAGAGTATTTATAATTAAAATACGTTAAATATGTTCCCATAAGCGCCTATATATAATCATATTTGTATATATATATATATATATGTGTGTGTGTGTTTGTTTGTGTGTGTGAGCGATGCAATGTTTGATGTACAATATGCAAGACTATATAATAACCATATAGTAGCTGATATGCTGCCGATATTGCTTGGTTCAATTCCGTTTCGTTCCGTTCCGCTCCGTTCGCTCGCCTTAATATTTACATTAAGTAGAAAATTTGTTAATTATATTTTAATGCATTTATTTAGTTTGTAACTTCGGTTCACTTAAATAAAAAAAAAAATAAAAAAAAAACTTTGCATACTACGTCCCCCCCCCTCTCTCTCTCTCTCTCTCACTCACTCTCTGATATATATGTATATATATACCACATATATATACAAACAAAACAGATTCGAATTTTGCATTTAGAATTAGTTGAAGGTCCTCATTAATAATTAATGATTAATGATTAATGATTAATAATTAATTATATTAATTAATTGCTGTGCCTTTGCATTACAAACAAGTCAACATTAACACATTAAATTAAATAATAGGCAAAAAAAAAGAGATATGTATATATATATGAGTGTGTATATATATACATATATGCATATATATTTAGTCGTAATCCAATTGTTGCAAGTTCTCGAGCTCCCTTGAGCGGCGTTGACTTAATACAAAGTAGCTCCTGCCGCCTCAGCTGCTACTGCTGTTGCGGCTGCTGCGACTGCTGCTGCTGGTGCTGTTACAGTGTTACTTGACTTTAACGTACACTTAAGTGGTCATCAGCAGGCTGCCCGTTCAGCCCTTCGAGTTGGCCAAGACGCCAGCGCCGAGTCCTTGATTCTCCTCGATATACACATTGCCCGGCTGCAGCGTCTTTAGAATCCTTCGCTCCTGATGCTTGGCATGTTTCTCCACTGCAAATGAGAGAGAGAGAGAGAGAGAGAGAGAATGAGAAATGAGTGAGTGAGCATATGCGCTTGAGCTGTGGCCCACAAGCGTGGCTGTCAAAAACTGAGTGACAGCCGTAGGCCCCATTGTATTAAAATTCAGTGCGGGCGCGTTCTCATTTGCATTTGCCATGGAATCAATTGCGATCGCATTGGATGGGCCCATTAAACGGCTATTGTCGCCGCCGAGAGGCCGCCGCCCACGGGCTCAATGGCCAATTTATATGCAAATTGGCAAACGCCTTGACCAAAAAGGCGCAAAGAACACAAATACAAATACAAATACAAATGCAAAGAATACAATCACACACGCACACACGCACAAATACATACAGAAATGAAAAGAAATTCTTTCGCTTGTGGCATGGAATGCCATCCCGCGGCGTCTCAGCCCAATCGAACCTAGTCCAGTCCCGCCCATCCCATCCCAGCTCAGCTCAGCCCGGCGCAATCCCCCGCCAGGCGCAACGCACTCGAACTGGACGATCTCAAGTGGTTTGACCTTTGACACACTTACCAGGCAGCAGCACATGTTGCGGCTGAAAGAGGCTCGACTGCGCAGCGGACGCTGCCGCCGAGGCGGCCGTCATTGTCGAGGCGGGCAGTCCGCGCAGGGCGTCCGCATTGCCAATGAAGAAGGTGCCACCGTCCAGGCTCTGCACCTCGGCCAGCTTGGCCATTAGCTTCGTGGACAACTCTTCCACATCTGCAGGCAGTCCGCGTCGAAGATGAAGAAGAGGAGGAGAAAAAGAAAGAAAAATAAGAGATGTTAGCATAATTGTCAAGCAACATAAGCGACATCTGGAATTTCGTGTATGGATTTAATAAATATGCGCAAGTCGGGCGTGCTCGACTGCTAGATACCTAGCATTTATACTTGTATTTCAATGAATATTTTTGACTTGATGAGGAAGAGAGTGGCTTATATCGAACCCAAAAGGTATAGCACGAGCCACAGACCATTATTTGGGGAGGAGCGATTAAAATGCATGTATAGAAAGATATTCTTATATACAGTAGAATTCCGATAATTCAAAATGGATTGATTTACACAGAAATTCAAATTATAGAGGAATTTTTGAGATGGATTTTCTTTCAAGGGGATGGAATTTTTCTTTTTGATTTTTCGCAATTTTCAATTTAGCGGGGTTCAAATTATGGAGACTCGACTGTATATTGAAAAATATAGCTATATATGGATAGACTTATACATATACTTATGAATATCAGCATAGGATAAATCGAGCTGTCATAGATGATGCAGTAACTAAAAGTTAGCCAGAGATGTTACGTTATTTGATTCTTCTGCTAGTCGATAGAGGAATATATACCGACAAAGGATTTTAGTAACTTATATTCTTAATATAACAAGTCATCCACTCATCACTTAAGCTGAACTTCTAGTATACTATAATACATATTTATATTATTTATGTTATTTCCAAACAAAACGTGTCGATCGCCCAATCAATGACCGTCCAAGGGCCCACTGGCAATTAATGTACATAGGTACATAAATAGAAAGTCTCTATTTGTGCATTCAAGGTTTGAATGGCTTGCGGATCACGTCTGCCAATGGCCAGATGTATGTATGTACATATGTGATATTCTTTTTGCGTTTTTCTAGTATTTGTAATATTTGCCAACTGTATAAAGTACTGTTATGGCCTTCATAAGGCTGTTAAAATATTTATAATATTTTCGTATTCGCGCTGTCAGATCAACAGTTATTACGGTCAGCCATTTGTTGATCGATGCCAGGAAATAGAAAGGGGGTCGCTCAGGGGCCTTTGCGGCGCATTTCCGACTTGTAAACAAGCGGCGGAGGCGTAAACGGTGGGCGTGCCCAAAAAACAGAAATCAGACAGCAGCAGCCCAGCAGCGCAGTCAGCGCAGCCAGAGAGCAGATAATTTATAATTTATTTTTAAAACTTGAAGTCAACAAAAAAAAAAAAAAAAAAAAAAGGGAGAGAAAAAAAAAGGAGAAAAAAAGAGAAAAAAAAAAAACAACATGCGTCGAGGAAAAACTGAAAAGCGAACGAGAGAAATGGGAAACAGAAATATAAAATAAAAGATCAACAAGAAAATTAAGTTCCGTTGCCCAACAGACGCGACGGCTGCCTTTCGGTTCTTTGCTTTTTATTATAAACAATCCCAGCAAAAATTTTCACACAACAACACAAGAAGACGGAGGGGAAGAAGAAGAGGAGCGACGGCTATAGCAGCTACATACGTCGTACACAGTTTTTGAGAAAAATCAGAAAGAAAATTTTCCAATTGGAATTGAAAGAAAAGCAACAAGAATTTTACAAATTTGCGCAGTTCAATAAGGCTTAAAATTTCCAATGCGCCAAAGCAAATTAAGCACATATGGATGACTAGTCTCTATAGAGTCTGAGAGGGAGGAAGAGGTAGAACAAGAGCCAGAGGAAGAGGAAGAGCATGGCCGACCACAGGTTCGAGTACTCCCATCTATCTGTTTACGTACGCACATATACATATGTACATGTAGATCTTTGTCTACGGGTGTTTGTATGTATGTGTGTGTGTGTGGCATATTGGGGAAAAGCGGCACAGTCGAATTTTCCGTGGAAACCGTATATATGTACAAGAAGATTCTAGCAAACTGATTAGTGAAAACAGCAAATCCGAGAAAAACCAAGTGCCCAGCAGGAAAGGAGAACGAGGGGGAGGGTAGGGGACGCGTATGATCTACAAAGTAAAATTTTTTACTTCAACAATTATAGATCAATAATTGGGTGTTATGGGAAAAATCACTGCCTAAAGTCTATTTATTATTGTTTTTGCCTGATGCAACAAAGATTGGATAATTAATTGAAGAATGATATCTATTAGATGAGAATATGGTAAGTAAACAAAAATAATCTATTTTCTTACAAGTTATGAGATCTTCAATGAGTTGAGCAGAAAGTAGTTTCTGCTTGTGTATCCTCATCTTTAATTTACTTATCAGATTTTTGGTATATTTAGTATTAAATAGTATATGTGTATATGATGTAATAAACTGCAGCAGAGCCAAAGACTTCATAGAGCACGTCTATAGAGTAGTGGAAAAAAGAAAATTCTAGTATTATAGTGATCTATGAATGATCTGATAATAAAGGATTAGTTTTTTAGGAATACTATAAGCTATCTAGTTACTCTATAAAGATAGTAACTATAGCAGCTCTACAGACTATAGCGACTTCCTGTATAAAGGGAGTAGTCCATAAAGTCATTGATAGAATATTCTAGTATCATAGTCGGTATGTTAGATATACTTGTGTGAAATAAAGTGCTCTATAGCAAAATTAGACACTCTAGGGAGTGCAGAGAGCTTACCCTACGCCTGACACTCATTCGCTTCTCATTCACTTCGTTCGAATCATACGCAAATGGCAAGCTGCTTTCAGGTGCCAAGTGAGTCGCCCTCGCTGGCTGTGCAGTGTCCGCCCTCAGTGTCGCTGCGCTGCTCGGGGCAAGACGGGCACGGCATCGCTATTTTTGGAGTGGCCGTAGAATGCAGGGAACGAAGATCGGCTGCAGTTGTGCGATCTGCATTTGCTCAGCTGGCGCACTGAGCGAATTTATTGCCTTCTGCACATATCCAAGTTGAAGGAAGCACTAAGCGCGTGCCAAATGCATGCGAATGCAAATAGCAGAAATGCCAATTGAGTTGGAGAGGGAGAGAGCGAGAGAGAGCCAGAGAGAGCGAGCGAGAGAGAGAGAGGGAGTGGTATAGAGAGTGGGAACAATTGTCAATTGAGCGCTTGAGTGCGCCTAGTCACACCTTTCGCTGCCACCAAAGAAGTGGAACAACTTCCTGTACAGGTCGGGCCAGCTGGTCCAATATTTAATCAACATACGGATCGAAGTATTCGCCAACTATTTATAGATGTGTGACGAGTGCGACGGAAGTGACAGAATCCAATGAGAAGTGCAAAGACAAATGCCGCCCCTGGGGCCATTCGAGCACATTTGACAAAGATCTGTTACATAAAGATGCAGTTGTTGTTGTTGCTTGTGGCGGTGCTGGTGCAGTGGCATTTCCTGCCCCTCGTCTGTTTTATGGCCCTCGACTGGCTGTGACATGATTTTGGAATTTGATTACATCGCCACGGAAGTGATTCAACTCTGCGGTCTACAAACATCCGCTTGTCCTTGAGCTAGACACAAATGCAGGCAGACAGAGGATGGCGGGACGGTGCTGGGGCCTTGACTCTTCCGTTGTACGTGTCTTTTACCTGTCTGCTAGGTATGTCTCTCTCTCCCCCCCTCCTTTGTGCGAGCGTGTGTGTGTGTGTAGGTTTGCTTCCGGTCCTGGATTAAGACTGGTTAGAGTTGATATTTGAAATCTCAATGGCTGTACTTGGTAACACGCTCAGTTGATCCTAGGCAAGTGTTTTTTTTTTTGTTTTTTCTTTTTGCTTCTTGTGTTGCCATTGTTGTTGTTGTTCGTTGGCTGTTTGCGTTACGTATCGTTTCGTTGGTGGCTTCATAAATTTTTCACACTGGACATGGGCTGCACTCTTGCACTGTGAGCGCTGCGTGGGCTGACGCCAACGTCGGCGCTGACGTCGCCGTCACCGTTGACGTCGCCGTCGACACGCGCTGAATTATGATTACAAGAAGAAAAACAAGACGGGAGCCTATCAAAGCAAGGCATAAATTTTCACGTTGGCCCCGCAGACACGGCCCGTGGGTGGATGGGCGTGAAAAGCGTGGAAAATTCACGCTCTTTAACAATGTTGTTGTTGTTGTTGTTGCTGCTGTTGTTGTTAGTCTATGCCTCCTTATTATTGTTGCGCATCGAACAACATGTGTCTACACACTCGCAACGCCAGCCGAAATGATATATGCCCGCCTAGATAAACACATAGATAGTCTCTAGACTTTCCGATCGCTGCGACCTGTGAGCCCTGAGCTGTGAGTTGTGAGTTGTCAGAGGAGCAGAGCTGCCAAGTGAAAATATTCCAAATTCACTTTGACTATCGAATTTCAGTCACAGGCAGCAGCAGAGCAAGTTCATGTCAGATTTAACATGCAGTCAAACACTCAAATCTAAGCAATCCGAAAAGATTTGTAAGAGATTTCGTTTGGCACCTGAAACAACTTGCGAGTTGCCTAAGAAAAAAGAATTTCACAACACTTTGGTCTAATTTAGCTCTGCAACAACTTTTAGTTGAACTAAAAAAAAAATATATATATATATATATATATATATATATATATATAAATTACATTTAATTTAGTGCATTATATTTATATGTGAGAATATTCATTTGCAAATTTATTAAAAAAAAAAAAAAAACTATAGATATATATTTTAGGTCCTTATTTGATTATTGTATTAAAGTACTATATAAATATTTTATATCTTCTTTTTTTTTTTTGTATGTAGTTATAATTATACACATTAACATTTGTTATTTAATTTTTTTTACATATTTAATCATTGTTTTTTTTTTTATATTTTTAATATATTTTTTTATATATTTATATCTATGTATACTCATTATTATTATTATTATTATTATTATTATTATTATTATTATTATTATTATTAT